AAGATGACAGAAATGCAGAAGAGGAAAGCCACTGCCATGCACAGCACAGCACAGCTCCATCCCCGCCCTGGCACGGCTCATGGCATCCGTGGCACAGCCTGGAGAGCCCTGTCCCCAGCTCACCTGGTCCCTCCCAGCACAGCCTGCAGCGATCTCTTCAGCGCAGCATTGCTCCGCTCCAGGACKGCAGCCAGGCTGCTCCGGTGAGCTGGGGTCACCTGGGACAGAGGCAGCACAATCYCAGGGTGCTGCCCTGCCAGGAACCCACCCCAGACCCCCAGGATGGCTGCAGGGCTGCCTGGTGGCTCAGCAGGAGCTGCAGGACCGAGCCTGGCTCACTCACCTGGCTCTGGTACCCCGTGAGCACGGCTGTCACCAGCCTGGCATAACCAAGAGATGCAGCAAAGGCTGGGCCCTGCCGGCACAGGGTCAGCACCAGCAGATCCAAGAGCTCAGCGGGCAGCTCCTCCTGGAAAACATCCAGGAGAGGGACAGGAGAGCTTCACAGGTCCTTGCTGCAGCACTGCTGGAGGCAGCAAAGAAACGCAGGGCACGAGGTGGCACTGCCTCACCTGCCGCCCCAGCACAGCCTGCAGCACCAGCAGCAGCTTCTCCGATAAAGGCACCTCCAGGACCTGGCTGGAAGGACAGTGAAGGGGAAAGGTGCTGCCCCAWGGCCCTGCTGGTGCTCCTGGATGGCTGGAGCCAGCTGGACCCTTCCAGGCATGAGTGAGGCTGAAGTAGAGCTCACAGTGGACTGGTTACAGTCCACCCTGTAACCCCCTTACCTCAGCACCAGCTGCACAGAGTGCGGCTCCAGGCACTCCTCCACCAGCTCACACAGCAGCTTGGTCTGCTCAGCATCTGCATGGGCAAAGCAGCAGGGGAGAGCCTCCAGAGGCTGCCAAATCCACGGGGATGTGCCTGGCACCCCTTCACATTGGGGTCTGCCCCAGCAAGGACAGGCAGAACCCATGCAGTGCCCCCTTCTACTGCTCAGGATGATCCTGCTGCCTTTGCCCATCTGCAGCGAGGGCTTAAACAGCACCAGAATCTGAGAAAAGGGGATGCCACATGTGGATTCACCCTCTCCTCATGCCAGTAGAGCCACGCTGGGGCAGTTCTGGCCCCAGCATTAGGAGCTGTCAGGAGACCTCCAGTCATGGAAAAGTGGGAGCTGTCCTTTGGGAAAACTGAAACTGGAAGCAAGTCTGACCAACCCTCCCATTCCATCTCAGGCATCTGTAAAAATCCTCTCCCATCCCAACCCCCAGGTGTTCACCCACCCAGAAAGAAACCCCACACCTCCCGTTGTTCCTAACACACATTCCATGTGACAGACACCTCCCAGGACACAGCACCCTGCAGCTGGGGCCCCTCTCCAGCTCCCAGAACCCAGCACACCTTCCCCTGGCTCCTGCAKCACCGCAGCCAGCAGCACACGGCAGAGGGGATGGGAGTACTTGGAGCAAAACGAAGTGAGGGCAGCCATGAGGTGTCGGGAGGGCGGCTGGGTGAGGGACAGRACCTAGGGATGGAAAAAGAAGGGTGGAAAAGGGGACAGTGGAGAGGGGGACAGGGAGCAGGGATCCCCTGCTGCTCTGGCACGTACTCGCCTGAGGAAGAGCTGCTCTGCCAGGATGGCTGCGCTGGTGTAGCTGAGCTCGGGGCTCAGAGGCAGCAGCCAGCTGCAGAAACGCACCAGGAAGGGCTCTGGGCACGTGGAGAGCTGCAGGAAGGAGCACAGCCCCTCGAGCTGGGGGTGCCAGAGGGGARGGGACATCAGGGACAGTGGCAGGACCCCTGCAGTGGCTGCAGCAGGGATGCTGGGGCTCACCTGGCGGGGAGAGCAGGAGCTCAGGATGCTCAGCTCGGGTGGGGCGCTCAGCTCGGAGTACTGGAGGGACACACAGCCCTGAGTAATGCACTGAACAAACCACCCCACAAAAACACAGCTCCAGGGCATCTCCCYTCCCTGCCCGTGGGGCAGTGCTGAGCCCACAGGCTGCCCCTCACTCAGCAAGGGACAGCAGTATCCCAGCCCAGAGGAGGTGACAACAGGGCTTTTTACCCTGATCCAGCTGGCCCTATAAAACCCACCCCCTTTTCCACCCCTTCTGAGGCCCTGGCACAGCCCATTCAGAGCTGCAGCTCCAGAAGAGACACAAGAAGCAACCACTCACACTGGACTCCTGCAGCAGCAGCATTTTCAGCCTCTGYCCGTGCACCTGAGGGAAATGAGATGAAGGAATGGCAATCAGACTCTGAAGGCTCATTAGCTGCAAGGGGAGAGCAAACCCTACCCAGTACCTGGACAAAGGACTGGACCTCAGCTGCCAGCTCTGTCTGGGAAATGTTCTTTTGCTCCCCAGCTGCATCCTGCTGGGAGCTGTCCAGAGCAGCCCTGTCTGTGCTCTGAGGAGRTGTGCTGTCCCCTGAAGGCTCCTGGGGCACCTCCTCTGCCACCCCTGCCACATCCCCACATTCCTGTGGTCCTGGGGGCTCAAAGGCCACCTCCTCCAGCATCATCCTCTTTCCTTCTCTCCCATTGTCCAGCTCCAGGCTCTCCTCCGACGCTTTCTTGCACTTCCCACCTTGAGGCACACTGTCAGCGGCACCAGCCTGCTTGCTGAAGCACCAGTTCGATTTTCTTTGCCCCTCTTCTGCTTTCTTCTGGGCAATTTTCTGGCACAGACCACTAAGCTGCTGCTGGCATGCAGCAGACAGGGGAGTGGGAGGTGGGAATTCACCCTGTGCCCTGTGTCCCTGCTGGAGCAGATGCCCCAGTGCCCGCACCCAGGGATCCACATGGGAATCCTGCTCCACGGCCTGGAGCAGCCGGACCAGGCAGTCCCCYGGCACCACATCCCTCACCACCAGGAGCAGGGAGAGGAGGTTTCTCTGGCACACAACGGGCAGCAGCAGCAGCCGTGGCTTGCTGGGTAAGGGGAGAACAAAAAGAGGCAACTGGTCAGAGGAAATCCCCATGTGCTGGCTCCAACCTGCCCCGTGGGGAGCGGTCACACAGCACCACAGAGCAAAGGGATGCAATGAACACCTTCACCAGCTTCTGCAGACACAAGCTGGGACACAAGTGGGACACTGCTGGGACCCCAATTTCACGTATGGACCGCTGCACCGGGGGAAGCRGATGCGCTCTCCCAAATTGTGCACCAGACACGCAAAATTCACCCCAAAACTCCCCTAAAACCCGAGTTTTAGAAACGTGTCCGACTCACACAGCCAGGGTGTCRTGCGGCCCCTCCAGCGCGGGCTCCTCGGCGCACAGGGCTGAGCTCAGAGCCTGCCAGGGGAACGCCTGGCCCGGCCCCTCGTCGGGCTGGCCCCGCTGCAGCAGCCGGAGCGCGGCCATCGCCCCSCCGGGCCCCGAGCACAGGGTGTGCAGCAGGAGGCGGCACGGCCGCGGGGAGCCCTGCAGCCAGCGCCGGCACCGCGGATCCATCGGCCCGGAGGGGGCTGCACAGACCCTGCGTGACACGGGACAGCGGGACACGGTCACAGACATGGGGACAGCCGGACACAGGCCCGGACACGGTCACAGACATGGGGACAGCCGGACACGGGAAACACACACGGGAACAGTCGGACACGGGGCACACACACGGGAAACAGCCGGACACGGGCATACACACGGGGACAGCCGGACACCGGACACGGGGACAGCTGGACACAGGAAACACACACGGGGGACAGCAGAACACGGGGCACGCATGCGGGGACAACCGGACAAGGGGCACACCAGGGAGGCACGGAACAATCAGGACCTGCACAGCCGTGCTC